ATTTATAAAAATAATAATTTTTATATATATATATATATATATATATATATATATATATATTGATATTAATAAAATTTAAGACAATAATTAACTAATTTTTTAATGTGTAAAATCGGTTTATTTTTATCATGTAAAAGAGAACCGGAGTAAATTATTTTAAAACAACTAATTAAGAAAGTAATATGATTCCTGAGTAGGATAGATATGGAGAGGAAGGGAGGGTCGAATAGAATCTGGAATATAAAGAGAGGATCTGCGAGTAAGAAAGACCAGGATATCTGACGTGGTTCTCTTACTTGGGACAATCTTTGCCGGCTCATTTCCCGCGAAATCGGTCTTAGAATATTCTCAAGCATATTATCTTAGGAATTTTCGAACGTTTTTCCCTCATCCAATGGAATGTAGAGAAAAAAAAAAAAAAAAAGTATTGTTATAGCAGCTGACACAAAATTTTGATAGCGGAGCAGGAACCTCCTGTACGTACGTCTTGAAATCATTGGACATTGAGTCTCAATCTCAATCTTTAATTGGCAATTACGTAATTAATAATTATGTACCTTTATGCCATGTTTACCAACCCCGTGTTCTCTAAAATCCAGATTGTACTTAAAAGCCGCGTACATTTCAAGGTACATTGGAAGCAAATTAAGGAGTTCATGATCATGAGTATGATTCGAAATTGAAATACCCAATTGTGGGTTTTGCTTGGTATGGAAATTCCTCTCCCTTCATACGTTGTGGTTGCATGTGATGCCACGAAAGATCGCAATGAGCACGAGATCAAGCATGTCGTTGATCGCCTTCGAAGAAGGGGTGACATTCTCTCTGCAAGTCATAGTCTGCTTGTGCTTGGTGCCTTGCATAAGGTGCCTCACCCAAGTAAGTGTATAATCTTTTGTGATCCATGAAAATCGGTACCAAAAACTTTACAACAACTTATATATCATATTCAACGACCAACTGAACAGGACCTCTTGATATATTTCAAGAATCCAAGCGTATATATATGTGCATGAAAGGACTTCTCCAATGTGCCTTATTATGGAATGAGTATAATGGAAATTTTCCCCAATGTATACACTTAAGGATACTCCTTATATCTTGTTGCAATCGTATCATCTATTATATATTTACATTTCTCTCTTATATTTTTATCTATCTCTGGAAAAATAGGATAAATGGAAATATAGCTAAGTGTCTAGTCCCTAGAAATTTCAGTTGGTCTAAACGTACTAAATGTCTATGTGTCTGTTAGTTTTAGAGTTTAATTACAAATCATGTTGAGATTCATTAGAGCATTAATATTTAATACCATCTAATAATTTATCCTATAGTAGCACGGTGTCCATGCGTCATTTTCCTAATGAAATATCAAATATTGTGTTCAGTGAAACTCTTACTGATTTTTCATTTTGTGTTAGTACCTCTCTCTGGTTCTTTGTCAGAGAATTGCAATGCTATGCGGTCTTTACATATACAGGATGGGTCTTTCTAGAAATTTCTTAAAGAGTTTTAATAAATGTTACTTTTTCACCTTTCAATCGACAGTGGGGTACCAGACACTAGCATGCCCGGAGTCCTTTGCTGGCGCCAATATTCGTGCAATGGAGGAAGAAGTTAACAGAAAAGTTGAGGCATATAAAAGTGTGCTTGCAACAAGTTATCAACAACATGAAAACAAAGGGGTAAGTTCTAAGAAATTATTGCAAATGTCTTACCACGGTGCCATCTCCTAATGAACAGAAAATGCTTATTCATATGCATATACACTACAATAAAGGAGCTTTACACAATATTTAAAAAAATACTACGTTATGTATAAATAATGTTAATTTATTTTTGTGATATATATTATTAAATATTGTATATATTATTAAATATTTTTAATAATAATTTTACATAATTAAGCAATATTTTTTAAATGTTACCAAAATAATATTTTTTTTAACATTTTAATATTATTAAGTTTTAGCTAATTTTATAAAATAATAATTAATTTTAATATAAATGTTATTATCACTTATATTTTATGACTTCTAATTTTCAACAAAGGTTGAAGATTTTGTTAATTAGTCACCGTCGAATTCATATCAAATATTAAAATTCATTTATATTAAACCATTCATTTACTAGATGTGAGATTTTAATTTTGAAAAATAATAATTAGAGATTAAAAAAATACGCTCTTCAAGTAATTTTTTTATTCAATGTGGATTTTTAATTTTGAAAAAAAAAATAATATTGAAATAAAAAAAAAGGCCATACTCAATCTATAGTAATATATTTTTAAAAAAAAAATATTTAACATAATCTATTAACTCAATTTATAGTAATATTTTAATAAATATAACTAAGTAAATGTTATTAAAGAAGTAAAGTAATGATGAGATATAAAGATAATAAATCTAGATTAACTAAATCAAACACTTTAATTTATTGATAAGTTTTTTCATTATACAATATCTCTTTCGAAATTGAGAATGTATCATATTGCATCCTTCATCACTTTAAATTTTTAGACCCAAATGCTACTATTTATCATCTAAGAGTAAGAAGGAAACTAAATGAGTTATAATTTTGATTAGCGGTCTCTATCTTCCTTTGTCATTAAATATTAATTATACAAAATAATTCATCTGTAAAATTGTTTTATTAGTTTAAGTATTTAATTAGCTATTTAGAATAGTATATTCTTGAATATATCAGTCTATATATATATTCAACATATGACGAGCTATGAATATACTAATTGTGGCATAGAAATGCTTTTGTTTCTTTTAATTATGCTAAGTCACTCTTTATCCCGTTAGCTAACAGTGGTGGAGGGATTATAAACAATATATTAATTTAATCAAATAATTCATGGGATATGGTAGCCTTTTTATTGCTACGAACATTCTGCAGAAATTTCAGCAGGTAGAACAGCTTTTGGAACTGAATATTTCTCGTTTCATTCTTCCTTAAATTATGGCAGTATATACATATATATGAATTTGTAGATTAAGTTCTGACGCTTATATTATTACTAGGAAGGTGACAGCACATTACTGATTTACTAAGTTATATAGATTTTAAGTTAATTAGTGTTTATCATAATGTGTTTCCTTCTGTATTACAAATCTCTCATGAATGATGGGGTCACGTTTTCTTTGTTGGGTTTTGGGTATTAAGTTGCTGTAAATCAGTATCACTATAGATCTAGACTACAATTGTTTATAGTCTATAATGACCCTTTTTTTGTTTACCATTTTAATTATAAATTTCTGTCCAGGTCAGCAGAATCGAGGTTAAAATCACTGCAGGTTTTCCAATTAGACAGGTTATTATACAAGAGGTTACGAACTATAATCCATCTTGGGTTATTCTTGATAGGTATTACCTTCCCTACACTTCTAAATAACCATTTCATGTGCTAATTGTTTTCTATAAGGCAAAGATTTTATTAGTTGTCTTGTCTAAGTGGGATAGCATTATATATATATATATATATATATGAGAGAGAAATGATTTATTTATTTTATTTAAATTTACTTTGTTGAATAACTTATATTTTATATCAAATTTTAACGATTTAATATTGAATTTAAAGTTTTTAATGTATAGATATATAAAGTCAGCAAATTTTTAAAAATTTTAAAAATTATTTGATTCTTTATTTTATTAATTTAAATTAACATATAAAATTATTTTATGATTATTAATCAATACGATTTAATGAAACGAAGTATTAAATAATTTTTAAATATTTTAAAAATTAATTTGTAAACCTTATCTATGTATTAAAAATTTTAAATTCAACAGTTGTATCGTTAAAATTTAATTTAAAATATGAGTTGTTGAATAGAGTAAATTTAAGTAAACTTACTCGCAGAGTAAACAGATCCCTTTTTTATATATATAGAGAGAGAGAGGGAGAGGAGATCCATTTACTCTAGGAGTAAATTTATCTAGATTTACTCCCTTCAATAATTCATGTTTTACATCAAATTTTAATGATCTAACCATTAAATTTAAATTTAAAGTTTTTAATGCATAGATCAAATATGCAAATTTTTAAATAATTTGAAAATCATTTGATATTTTGTTTCATTAATTCAAATTAATAGATAATCATAAAATCATTTTATACATTGATTTGAATTAATAAAATAAAGTATTAAATAATTTTTAAATTTTTTTAAAATTTATAAACTTGATTTATGCATTAAGAACTTTAATTTCAACAGTTGAATCGCTGAAATTTGATGTAAAATATGAGTTATTTAAAGGAATAAATCTAAGTAGCTAGACTCATGCCTAAAATAAACAGTACCATTCTCATATATTTACTAAAACACTCTTTAATTGAAAGTTAAGCAATAAACTTTTGAAATGCTAAAATTTATTTAATGGTTAACCTATCCAAACAAATATTTTTTATATACATCGATTATGGATCAAAAACAGAATAACACCAAAAGTCCTACCCCGTTCTGAGAATTCGACTAATAAATATCATTACACGTTGCCATCTATTGCTCCTAAAAGCTAATAAGAGTTCCTGGCTTGCATGCAATTAAAAGGGGTTCCCAGCTTGCATGCATTGTGTGAGAAGAGAAGGTGACAAGAATCCTCTATGTCGGGCGTAGGGACAAGGATTTGGGCACAATGTTTTCCCTTTTCATAAAGTCCAAGCCAAATAATGTAGCAATGCTCTTAGTTTGTCCCTCAATATTCAGGGGTGTGAAAAAAAATCAAATGAACTGATATGAATTTGGAACTGAACATGCAAATTTTTTTAATAAAATAAATAATTTTCTACCTTATATAATATATTTGTCTATTTAATTAGTCTTCAAATTAAATATATAACTAGTAAAAGTTTTTTAATTTATTTTTAAAGATTGTATTAATCATGACTTTGTTCATAATTTTGAAAGAAAAATATTTTTTTCTTAAGAAAATCAGCTTAAAATTCATTTAGTTCTTAAAACTGGTACCTAAACTACTTTTGAACATGTTTATATAAATAGTTTAATTATGAACTAATTTAATGATGTGATTTAAATGATTTATATACTGATTGAGCATATTTATTTTAAAAAAAATTAAACCATACACACCCCTACATACAGTTGATTATTTGTTCTCCAAGTCTTTGAAGATGTTAGGCCATTGGGTTTTAGATGTTAAGGAGGTGTCCCGGACTTTTTCTTTTCTTTGTTTCTTTCCCTCTTTTTTTTCCTTAGTTGTATGTATGGACTTAGCTAGAATTTTAAAGGGTAAATCATCCTTTTAACCATTGAAACTAAATATTCCAAATAAATCTCTCAAAACTATACCAGTCATTTTTATAAGTCCTAAAATTAAACTTCACAACTTATTGTCATTTTAATCTCCAAATTAATATTAGCAAGTATTATCATTGTATGTATTTGTTGGACTAACATCATTCACAAATTATAGTTTGAGCAACTTCTTTTCAATTTCTTTAGTTTTTGGAGCTAAGATGACCATGCTTGACACCTTCAAGGAAAAAATAGGTGATTTTCCCATAACATTAGGAAAATAAAAATAAAAATTGGTCCTCATCCTTTAGAGAGAAATCTGCCCTCAATCTATTTTTGACTTGAAGCTTGGATGTGCTCATGTTCTTAATAATTTGTTGCATAATTTATATTCTTTTATGAAATCCAATTTCCAGCAAAGCAATAAATTAAATCAAATTCTTCCTATTGTATTTCACCAAATTATTTTTCTCATTGAAAAAAGAATATACTACTGGAACTTAAGCTTCTCTAGCATTTGTGTTATGAAAATATATCCAGTTTTGTATTATTTGAAATGAAGAGTATAATTTCACTATATACTTAATTTTCTTATATTTTTCCTAACTATTTCTAATTACAACAAAAAAATTTGAACAGACATCTTCGACGTGACTTGAGATTTTACAAGAACAAGATATCATGTAGAATTGGATTGGTTAAAGATGACTTGTCACTGGATATTTGGAGATCTCATCATATAACTGAAATAGAAGTCACCGAACAAAAGCTTATTTATTCTTTGAACAAGAGTGTTTCACTATCAGGTTCTCAAAGTATTCGAGATGAAGAGCAATCTATCATGGTTTGCAAAAGTTATCCTCCTTCCATTACTTCTGAAAGCTCTAATATGTCAAAGAGAAATATCAAACATTCAAATGCTAATAAGTTAGAAGATCACAATTCTTCAACAGATTTTCGATCTTCTTCAAGTAAGAAATTTGTTTTAATTTTTCTTGTACATTCTTATAGGTATTATTCATACATAATATATTTTTCCAATAGTAAATATATACTCACCTTTTTTCACTGTCGTTATTAATTTCGTCAATAATGTTATCAAACACTTGTCTTTCTTCTTTTTCTTTTTCTTTCATGTGTGTAAAAATTGTTGTATAAAAATACATACAATTAATTACTTTATTATTCATATTGCACATCCTCAACTAGTCTTACCAATTCTATGTTTCTTGCATGCAATTTCCCTTACAATATTAGTTTGTTGTGCAACAAAAGAGACATTTTTTTTCCCCAAGATGCACGGATCATCAATAAAATATATATTCCTGGCACAAATGTGTGAGAATGGATGATTATCAATTAAGGTCCATAGAAATAAATGCTTGACAAATAATAAGACTAGTATAAAGATGAAGAAGAAAATTGTAATGTATATTTTAACTATGAAGTTCTAGAAAACTCTTTACAATGTTACCATGTTGAATATGGATCCTAAGTGCTCTTTCTACGAAGAAGCACACTCACCCCAAGGCAAAGCTTTTCCACCACTACTTGACTTCTCGACTTTCCCCACAAATCCTCTACCTCTCCATTATATGGAAATGATTCCTCTCTCTCTCCCTCCAATCCAATTGTCACTTGCCCTTTATGATATGTCCCCTTTTTACTATGTCTACCTTTCCCTTCTTTGTTGTTGTTATGTTTTCCTTCCTTCTTGCATATACTTGCGGGCCACTCTTACCAAAACCATCCTTTAGCTCACTTTCTCCTTTTGTTCCATTTCTATTCCTTTTGTCATAGACTTTTTCATATTAAGTTTATCAATACCCCCAATGAATTTCATTTTGTCCTCAAGGTGGAAATCGAGAAATTAAATCTCATGATTTGGTAGGTGTTGCCATCTAATGGGCAATTGTTATGAGTCATTGGCCTTATTTTATTTTATTTTATTTCAGAAAACACATAGCCTCGTAAGATTCTCACTCAAAAAATAAAATACGGAGTTGTTGAACTAGTATTGTCTTCATTACAACTTCTTCAATTGGAAAAAGATATATAAATCTAGTAGTTAGTGGTAGAATCGATAATGACATAAAGAGCTTGTAAGATCTTATAGATGGTGATTCGATTAATGAATAAAATATTTTTTCTTATGTTCATTATTCATGTGTTGAATGTTTAGTTTTTGTCTTAGAGGCGTAAACTTTTATGATTCGGTGTTTATTCGTTTTGTTTTGGGAAACTTTTATTCTTCTCACCAACTTATTAATTATCTTCACATAAATTACATGAACATTTTCATTGAGTTGTTGGTGATGAATATATAAAATTTTGGTTACTTTTTTCTTTCTTTCCAATTTTGAGTATTTATAATATGTACGTATTATAATATATTTGCATTGTATCTGCCACTTTCAGCAGTGCTACTTAATTTGTGTCACTACCTACTATAAAACAAAGTGATTTAACCCAAGAGGCTAATTAACTTGTTTGTTACATTGAATGTCCAATATTGTAGGGCACATGATTAACACTCATTTGTTACTCTTATAGAATTCTTTCCACTAAATAAGTGTTTTAAAATATCTTTCAGGCATAAGCATTAATGAAGAATATAAGCATCCCATTGGTTCTCAAATTTACCAAAAGCAAAGCATATATAGCTTTTTACCAAATTCTTCAAATGCTCCAATTCTTTGTACTTCTTGTGGGACACAAACTGCATTATATACCAATGACTTGAAAAGGTTCAGCTATTCTGAGATACAACATGCAACAAATGATTTTTCAAAAGAAAACTTACTAGGTGAAGGTGGATATGGCCATGTATATAAAGGAATGCTTAAAAATGGGCAGCAAATAGCTGCTAAGGTAAGGAAAGAAGAAAGCAAACAAGGGTTTTCTGAATTCAATTCTGAAGTTTACGTGTTAAATTTCGCTCGGCACAAGAATATAGTGATGCTTTTGGGTTATTGTTTCAAAGAAAGGCTAAATATTTTGGTATATGAATATATTTGCAACAAGTCTCTTGATTGGCATTTATTTGGTAAGTAACATATATAGTTTTTTCTTTTCCTTCTTTTTCTTGTTTGTTCATTCTGGGTCTCAAAAATATTTTGTTTAATCAATGATTTAGATTTTATGAATCTGGTAAGACATTTTTGCAGATAAAAATGCTGCAGTTCTCGAATGGCACCAAAGATATGCTATTGCCATTGGAACTGCAAAAGGATTGCGTTTTCTACATGAGGAATGTCGTGGAGGCCCTATAATTCATCGTGACATGAGACCAAGCAATATACTCCTCACTCATGATTTTGTTCCCATGGTAAAATCTTCATTTTTTTATTTTTTTGTCAATTGACGGCTATATTTTACCAATTTCATTTAATAAAATTTACCAATTGTCAAAGCATCATAATGCAACTTACTTAACCGTGTATCTTATTATGCTTTTTTTAGTCTTACATTGTCACATCAAGTTAAGCAACTGGATCACATTTTTAATCTAATGGTAAAATTTAAGCAAACTTTACTAAATATATTGTTGGTTATGATTTATTGGTTTCTTTAATTGTTCTTCTTTTTCTCGATTTGATGGTGGTTAGTGGTGTAAAAATGTTTTTTTTTTTTATTTCGTATCTTATATGCAACTTGAATTCAAGATACCATTTGTCTCACGTAAACTGACTCTAATGGAAAAAAAAATAGATAAATAAGACACGTATGGTTGCTTAAAAATAAAATAGCAATAGGATACTAACTTTGTTGATTCTTTTGTTAATCGAAAGGAGATGCATACCAATGCAGGTAGGTGACTTTGGTCTTGCTAAATGGAAGACTAGTGATAAGACTCTACACACAAGAATAATGGGCACATTAGGGTGAGCCTTTCTTCAAATTTCTTATTGCTAGAATGTAAAACTAATAGTAAACAAATTATTATTATTATTATTTTTTTTTTTCCTTTTTATGTAGATACCTTGCCCCCGAGTATGCCGAAGACGGTATTGTTTCTGTGCTAATAGATGTGTATGCTTATGGCATTATTCTGTTACAATTGATAACAGGACACAAGGCAACTTCTAGTCCAGAGCAACATCTCTCCCTACGACAATGGGTATTATTTTCTCCTATGACTTTTATATGTTTGTAGATATTGCATGTTCTTGGCTCATTATTTTATTCACGTATACACAGACACACGAGGCCCTTTATCACTAGATTTCAACTTGACTAATTTTAAAATATTATTAATGAAAATTTTAGGCTGAGCCCAAGATTGAGAAGTTAGAATTTCATGAACTTATAGATTCTCGTCTAGGGGATTCATATGACTCAAATGAGCTATATATCCTGGCCAAGGTAGCATATTACTGCGTGCAAAGAGATCATAAGAAACGCCCGTCTATTGGAGAGGTAATTGTAACATTGTAGCCATTATATTTATATATGTTGACATGGTTTACCAAATTATGAAACAGTTTTTTTTATTTCTTATTAAGACAAAGGGAGTCTAATATATAACTGAATTGACAAAGAAATGGTGTCTTATTAGCACAACAGAGGCTAAAGTAAAATTGAATAAAAGGGCATATATAGTTGTTCTAATTAGAAAATGGCTTAGGTTTGTCATTGCTACCTAATTATAAATCAAACACATGGCATACTTAATTAATTGGTTGCTCCATTAATTTATTCAAACCTAAGTCATATATATAGTTCTGGTCGGACTTGCACTTAAAATTTTGATATATTCTAATACGTGTGATCCTAGTTTTACCAATACATTAGCAATAACACAATTTTTTTTTATTATTATTGTAAATAATAAATATTACCTAATTAACAATATGCATATTACTAGTAATGGAAATGATTTATCAATGTTATCATGTACTTTGACCAGTGATGTAAGTATAACTTGTACAATAAAGAGATCTTATTTATATCATAAAAAATTTAAGTTTTATGTTAACTAAAGATAAGATAAATAAGAGTAATCTTCACTTTATAAATCGGTTTATATGGTTGATTTAGGCTCATAATTTATTTTCTAGGATGTGTAGTATCAGATTTATCTAGATCCAGTACTTACCATTGATACATACATCAAGTCTAATAATGTTAGATGCAATGGGATGTATTGAAAAAAAATTCAAATTTTACCTATCTTAGATAATTAAAATAAGTCCTCCATCATTTATCTATGTAACAAATTCAATAGTACTAAACATGGATGAGTGTATTGGCAAAAACTCAATTCCTACGTCGATTAGATATAAGACAAATAAAAACTTAATAAGTGAAGAAAAACCATCACTTTATAAGATGTTTTTGTATGGTTGAGTAAAATCCACAACCCATTTTTTAAGACTTCACAAATTAAAATCTAAATTTATAAAATTATAGAATTTGGATATGAATCTAACTTAATTCTAAAAATATAGTTAATAATATCATGGTTGTCTGTCATAATACGTTATTTTAATCACATTGTTAGTTAATGTGAAATCTTTGATGCACCCCTTCATGTTGGAGACTAAACATTACTGAATGAGTAATGGTTTCATAATAGTTCATTAATTAATAGGTGGCGTAGTAAACCTAACAAAAGTTACTAAAGTAGATTCTTAATTATGATTTCTTAAATTTTGAGTTTGAATCTAACATCTAATATATTAAAAACTCACGAATGAGACAAGAACTATCTCTCACTTATATATATTATTTAAATTATTATTATTATTATTATTATTATTATTATTATATATATATA